TTACAGGAGCCAAGTAGTTTAGCTCCCAGCATGTGTGGGCGCATTAAATGCTTAATGTATGTATATAAAAACAAAGCGTTTTGCTCGTAGAAAATATTTGTCTGATTTTTTGCACTAATCCACCTCATATACATATGTATTGGAAGAATTTGGATGACATTATAAAAGAAAAAGTGGTCCATATGGTGACTTAAAAAAAATTAAAAAATTAATTAGAAAAACTTTTCACAATTTTAAGGAAGAATTAGCCAAATTTGTCACTCCTTAATAGCCATTTATTTATTTTTCGCACTTTCAACTACTAAGTGCGAGGTTTTAGTAGCCATATTTAGATATTTTGCTCACTAGCAAAACGTTCTAGATTAAGAGAGCATTTTTCGAGCAAATCATTTCAAAATACTTTTACAACAATGATAGCGATTCGTTTCATTTCGTCAATATACTGATTTCCAGTCAAGAGAGCAGTCATCACCTGTTGCTGTTAAACGTAAAGTGAAGTAAGAATATGGACCACCCTTTAGTACTTATTTTACATATTCCATTATTATATGTACGAGTATGTATGGAATGTAAGTAATGTGTTTTTCTGGGAATTATTTAAGATACAGTAATAAGAATTTTACTGAAAATTCCGAAATTCCAGAGAATCTAATTCCCCGAAAATTAGCGAAATAATTTTTTGATATCAAGAAAAATTCAAAATTGGAACTCAGTCTGCAATATTAGAACGGGGGAACTGTACGGGCGTGTTTTAAATTGAAGCACGTACGACTGTTATCAAAACATGAAGTTGAGTAGAAAAACTCAAAAACAAACAAAATATAATTTTGCCCACAAAATAAACTAAGTTCACGTCGGTTGAATTTTCACGATTCCTTTTTATACTCTCGCAACCTGTTGCTACAGAGTATAATAGTTTTGTTCACCTAACGGTTGTTTGTATCACCTAAAACTAATTGAGTTAGATATAGGGTTATGTATATATAAATGATTAGGATGAAGAGACGAGTTGAAATCCGGGTGACTGTCTGTCCGTCCGTCCGTCTGTCCGTCCGTGCAAGCTGTAACTTGAGTAAAAATTGAGATATCTTTATGAAACTTGGTAGACATGTTTCTTGGCACCGTAAGACGGTTGGTATTGCAGATGGGATGATATGACTTTATAGGAACCGCGTTCGAAATTAGACAGTGGGCCTGGCACAGCCCACTTTTAGGTGAAAACCCCATATCTTGGGATCTGCTTAACCGATTTCAACCAAATTCGGTGCATAACGTTCTTTTCATATTTCTATGTTATATTGCGAAAATGGGCTAAATTGGACTACAACCACGCCTATTTCCCATAAAACAATTCCATCTGATTCTTTCACTTTCCACTATGCATATCAAGCAACAATTATTATATCGGGGTAAAACTTTGCGTGAATAATACTTTTAAAGTATGCCACCTTGTGACTAAAAATTGTCTAAATCGAATCAAAACTATTCAAGCGCCTAAGTACTAAATATGTGGACCCCAGTGCCTATAGTTGACCTTCCACCGAAAATATCAGTCAATCCACAAAGAAATCTTAAACGAGTATACCATTTGACTTTGCGAGAGTATAAAATGTTCGGTTACTTCCGAACTTAGCCCTTCCTTACTTGTTTAAATTAGTTTCGCTAAAGATCAAGTGTTCTGGACTAAATATGTGGCATAAATACCTAAACTTCTAATAGTTTATTGTTTTGTTCGAAATCCAAAGAAATATGTCGATTCGACCCGACAGGTCCCAGCTTGTTTATAAACGGGGCAGTGTTCTCTACTTTCATTTATGCAATTTAAAAATATACAAAATTGAAAACTGCCATAGCATATCTCTTTCGCGTTATTTCAGGTTGTCGATTTCATATATAATCCACCATGAACTTATTGCTAAAATTGTGGCTACCGGCTAGCCTTTCGGTTTCCACAAATCAAAACAATTAATAATTAAAATATATTCATCCTAAATAAATATTCAAAATACTATATACTACTTCATTCAAGGGTTGGTGATTCCCCATGTCACCAAGAATATACATATATGTGAAAGTAATGTTTGGTTTTCATTCGCGATAAAAACGACTTCAACGAAATGTCATAATCTTTACAATAACTCGCTTAAACTCGGACACACAACTCTTATATTACACTCTTCAGACAAAGTTGATGTAAAAAAGAGTATGTTCGCGTGGAATGCATGTTTTTATACCCTTCCTTAGTCGTACTACAGATGATGACAAAATTTTAATGCCGTATTAAGGCGATTTTCTAACTATTACAGGACTAATTTTTCTTCACTATGTGAATGTGATGTTAGCATGTAATGTGTGTAAGAGTTCTACCCTTAGAAACTTAGAATCGTAAATGCCTCTTTCTTTCTTCAAGCAGTTTGAAATATTGCTTTTAGTATAAGGTTAGATCCGTAGGGGAACGCATTTGAGAATTATAGAATCTGAGCTTACTTTAACACCCTCTTATTTCGAACGACTCCACCTATTCAAACCCAACCCAGACAGGTGTATACATTTTAGAGCTGTTGTACATTTGACTCATGATATATAGGATTTTGAATGCTCAAGTTTGTTTTCACATCCACTATATTCCTCCGATCAGACCCTCAACCACTTTTTCTTTGTCTTAACTACGCGGAAATGCTCCCTGGGCAAGTCAAAAGCGTAAAGACAAATCGTACAACAAAAATGGTATTGAAAAGTATTTCGGTTTCTACAATCGACATAAGGCTCCCAATAATTTAGTGTTCAAAATGTTTTTTCTTTAAAACAATACGAACTTTTAAGCACTAGTGTTCTTTGAGAAAAACTAAATTAAAATGACCTTGAATTGTGGTAGCGAAAAAAATATGTACCCAATATTTGGTGCTGTTCTTAAAGTTACTTTGAACTAGAAAATTGCTATATAGAAAATTTAAATAAAGAAAACGTAAAAGTAAACATGATAAGAATTTAGGTAAGTAGAGTATGACGTCAATTCGAAGTTGATAAGATGATAAAACTAATACATATATATTACATATCGTTATATACCAAAACATAAAGTATATATATACAAAAGTATGTGGGTATATAGAAATGATTACATACAAACAAATAGACATGCGCACGTAGAATTTGAACGTTAAATGGCATATCGCTTTGTTCTTTATATTACTACAATTTTGTTAATTTGCGTATTCCGGTCATTAAACTATTGAAGGAAGGTTGAAATATGAACATATGTATGTATGTATATTTATGTATCGGGGTCTAGATTCATGAAGCGTACTACACTTTCCTAAATAGAAATGTGGTGACACGAAAACAGTGGAGTTGTAGACGAAGAATAGAAATTTATAACACACAGACATATTTACATATGTATGTATGTATTACACATAGTGTGTATTTTACTATAAACATAAGTAATATCTATTTAACTTTCGTGCATTTGCATATTATTCATTCGGAGCGACCTATATTGAGCTACCAATCAAGGATAAAACCCATGTTGTCATTTTCAACGAAGTACCCAGTAAAAAAGCCTGCAAATATGTTAATTCATTGCAAGATGTCTTTCAAGAAGACTTTTACCGTTGCTAGTGACGTCAAGCAATTGGAACAAGCTTTGGTGTGATGAGAAAACGCTCCATACGAAAGATACACACTTTTACTGAGAATTTTTTGGAACTTTTTGTTTTTAGGCATTATTATGTCATTACGTAAACGTTTAAAACCTTCGTTTAAAAATAACACGCAGTAAATTTCGATTCGTATAAGTGCTGTTACATAAAAATATGAATATTAAAGAAGTCCATATACTCGAGTTTATTGAAAAATTGAGAGTTAACATTACACACCTGTGGTAAGTAAAAGAAAATCTTAAACTAACCTTAAACATTTTTTTTTATTTATATGGAAATGCAACCTTGAAAATGAAAACGCTAATTAAGCAAGTGGGATTTGTTTCATAAATAATATGCTTTAAACTCGAGTTGAATATATAGTCGAATGTTTTTTTTTTTATGTTATGAGATTTTATACAGAATCTGTTCATATTAGATATAAATTTGATGGTTCCATATTACCTGCTGAGAAACGAGGGCTATTAGAAAACACATTTTTTGGAATGTTGAATTGAATTGAATTAGAAATTCAGCCGCTTCTAAAAAATTAAACTTTGGAGGAACTCGTTAGTGCCTTTCCTACGTTCGACTATTTTCGAACCCTATGACGTATCTTTATAGCTCGTTTGGCAGGCATAGCTACAAGTATTTCGCTTTCATAAATAACAAATATTGCGAACAAGCGTTTTAAAAATTCGTCCCACTATACGAACTAGTCCCTCAGTTTTTGAGATATCGATCTGGAATTTTGCAACCGTCTTTTTCGCACCTTATTGGTGCTCATATGTCGGAACGGTCGATATCCGACCACTATAGCATACTGCTGCCATACAAATTGAACGATCGGAGTTACGTGCCTGTATGAATAACTTTTTCATTTAAAGGGATATAATTATCAATTATTGCATGGGTTATTGTCCAACGGTGGCAACGGTTTTTAAATTGATTTGTCTAGTTTTGAAACCGTTTATATCAATATGAACAACTAATAAATTGCAACAAATGAAAATAGAGCAGACTCATTTTTAAGCCTCTCATTTTTCTCTGTTTCCACAGAGGGGTTTCTCAGTTTACCATTCACATGCCTATGTAAATTATTCGTGGAGTTATGCAATGCTCTTCTCTTAACACTTTTTTTGCCGCCTCTTCAGCATTATTATGTAAGTTCGCGCAACACTTGAGCATAACTTTCTTTTGCTTTTAAGACGAAATAGTGCGCGCATTTGACTTTCAGCTAGCAACTTGAACACTTTTCACTTTGAACTTTTATCCTTTTCACCGTTACTTTTCTTCTCAAATTACAAATCAACGTGAACCTTTTGCGAGACACTAAGTAACACATAGAAAATAACTCACCCGCTAAATCCGCGTCGTTTGGTGGATGAAGTCAAGGGGTCCGGTTTGCCGCGATTATTACCTTAAACAAAAGCAGATAAAACATTTAAGAAATTAATATTTTATAGGATTTTCTTAATTGTATTTAAGTCAGGCACTCACTTTGTTCCTGCATGACATCGTTTGTTTCCTTCCGCGCTGAACTGTTCTTCTGTGCGCTTGGCGATGGTTTAAGTATAGAAACGGGTACTAGTCCTTCCTGTACGGCTGCATCGTCGCTTTGTGGATTTAGGCGCACTAAACAGAAATCTGGCTCGGCGGCAGAGGGTGCTTCCACCACTTCAACTTGTTGCCCTTTAGACACGCTTAACTCGTTGGAGCCGGGCGTTGCTATGTAATCGGCGACCACCCAAGTACCCTCGTGGCTGCCAATCTGGAAAAAAGCAACAAAAACAAGAATAAAAAAAACATGAAAAAGGAGAACTTAATTGAATATAAAAAATAAAGAAAAATAAAAAGACACACTACAATGAAAGGCGGCAATGGCAACAGCTTGGCAAAAAAAATAATCAATAAATGTTGGCACGTTGTATCGATATACTACCTACACGGCTAGTTAACATGGTTTGCAGCGGGCCAGAGACAAGCAGGACCAACATTCTAGCCAAAGGCATAGCAAGTCGGTAATGAAGCATATTAAATAAACATAGACATGAATAGGTAAGCATTGGTAAGTTAAACGAATGACTACTTTGTTGTTGTCAAGCTGAAAGGCTGAGGCAGGCTGTGTGTGCAGCAGAGGTTCAGGGTTCGGCTGTTGCAAAAACTTGGTAGGCCAAAAATAAGATTGTGGAATAGGGCTATAAGCCCATATATACCTCCAAGAATGTTGATAAAAATTTAATAGTTTATCAGTTTTTATGAGGGATGAGCTTAGCTAAGGATTATCGGGAAAAATATTTTTTTTTCCGAATTGTAAATATAAATATATATTTTTTCCTTGATATGGAAATTGCATTGAATGTATTTAAATTATTTTTTATGCCAAGGATATAGCCTAATTTTGCCACGAAGTTTATCACACCCAGAAGGAAGCATCGGAGACTGCATAAAAAATATGTGTAAATGATCAGCGAGTTGAGTCGATTTAGCCATGCCCATCTGTACATACAGTTTTTGAGATATCGGCTTGAAATTCGGCATACTGCCAAACAAAGTGATCGATCAAAACCGAGTCCTTGTAGAAGAAATTTGACATGGATTATTGCCCAAGGCAACATTACAATCTCCAATTTGTTTAGATCGGACCACTATAGCATATAGCTGTCATACAAACTGACCGCTCAAAATCAAGTTCTTGTATGGAATCTTTTGTGTAAGTAAAAGGTTTTATACAACCGAAGTTAAAGTTTTTTCTTGTTTTTATTATACTCCATACGTTTACATTTTGACGCCAAAATGTAGGCTAATTTTTATTTTTCTCATACACTGCAAGTAATTGTTTTATATAAACTAGAAAAAATTATTGAATTTTCTAAATATTCTTTAATCAAAATTTTATTGGTCAAAAATTAAGTTAGTGCCTGAAAGTAAACGGAAAAGTACAGAGATATATATAAATATCTGCTTTTTGTTAAGGTGTACAAGACCATTCGAAATACACCATTTTTCTTATTTATCAAAACTATTCTGAAACTATCCGAACTTAATATCCAAAAATTAATTATTTATATGTTTTAAGTTTTCACTGCATACGCTATTTAGCTTCGCGCTGAAATGTAGGCAACATTTGCTATGCTTTGCGTGTGTTGACCAAATAACCTAAATAAAAGCGAAAGTAGTGAAGAAGAATTTTTCGCATAACCATACGGCCAAAAATTCAAATTCAATTACTTGCCAATTAACCTAAATTGAAAATTTATTAAGCTTCACAACCAGATTTTTGGTTTTGGCAATTACTAAAATGAAAATAAAACAATTTTGTCGTTTGATACTTTGCTGGCAATTTGCTAAATTTACAATTTCATATTCAAAATCATTGTAAATTATTAATGAAATGTTAAAATAATTCCAGTTTCAATTGATTGCTGCTGGCATTTTGGAATTTATTCGAAATTTATTAAAACTTTTATTATATCAAGTCACAGTAGGTGTCATAAATATTTCATGGAAATTATTCAGTTTTAAAACTCGTCAAAAATATCAAACAGTGAAACTTTTATCGGTCTTTGCAAGCGTATCATATTTTTGCAACAACAAAAGCAGAATATAATCTCAACGCTACATTGTCCTTTAAGTTATAAATTCCAACTATGAGTGTAGATGATGAGGTGGCGTATCATTTTCACTTCATCAAACAAGCTTTTCATCTTGCTATTTCCAGCATAAAGCATTGCTATTGGCACGCTCCTGCACTGCACGCACACACACAGCCACATACTTCTACCATTGTAATGAACTGTATTGTTGTCCAATGTATTGACTCAAGAACACACACATACAATGGCTGCTAGTGACAAACCCACCACTCAGCTATTTATTCAGACGTTGTTAAATCTTTATTGTGATACATTGTTGGAATTAATTATTCATGAGTTAAATATATATGGTATGTATGTATGTATATATCGCTGAAGAAACTCGCATCAATGAGTTGGTAAGTTAGTGCTGCTTCTAGTTCTGTGTGCTTGTGCCGGGTACTCTTGTAGCTGTAAATGGACTATAATTGGTAAGGCTGAATAGACGATGATGTTTATTGATTAAAATTGGCTATTCGTCAAGGCAATATAAATATGGTTTGCATAGATTGGAATAAATTATAGATGGGGTTGGTGTAAAGTATAGTTTGAAAACACTGATTTACCGGTTGGTGTCACAGCGCAGAATTACATTAAATTTAGGTATAACTGTAAAAAGGTAGATTCGTAGTAGCATAATCCGTTAATGATATTAATATATAAAAGTTTTCCTCATAAAATTTCAGCAGAAATATTATACTATTACACCAACAGTAGGGGTAACAGTAAAGTAACGCAATGTCGGAGAAGCAAATTCCCGTCAATTTAAGACAATAATTGGGTGAGTAAAACTATGATTTGATGAGCATTTCACGGAACTGTGAAAGTTTGTGAAACCGCCAACTGAATATTGGTCCTAATGAGGTATAATGATTTGTCAGTTAGCGCTAATTGCTACCTCTTCGTTGAAAAATAATAATAAAAACATGAAAATTCAATTTGTGTTTAGTGAAAAAATATATGAAAATTAACGCCAGCAAGTTTATGCGCTAAACTTCAGTTAGGAAATAGTTTAAAATTTACCAAAAATTTATTTATTCATAAATTAATATGAAATAGTTTACAATTAATTTTAATACTTCATGACATTTTTATTATATCGCATGCGATTTTTTATTTGTGCGGTTGTGAATATATAAGTCACTCATACGCTCTGTCGTACATCAAATGGAAACGTGTTAAAAGGAACCAGGTTTGAACTTTTAAATATGTAAAGATACAATTTTTAAAGTAATTTAACCGAAATTTAGCAACATTTTAGATAAGCCATTGCATATAATTAAATCAAGGTTAATACAAGTTTTTTGTGCATATACATGAAAGTAACTGTTGAAAACAGTCCGGTGGTGCTTTGTTGACTATATCCACAAAAGTTAGGTAATTGCAGAATAAATATGTAGGATTGAGAACTTTTTTGTGACGTTTTTTAATTAAATTAATTTTAATGTCATGTTTGATTTTTGTCGTTATGTATATGTAAGTATATATTGTATACCAAAAATCACTCATACGACCTGTCGTACATGGCAAGGTTTTCAACGACTTTGTTTTGTGTTTTAGCTTACATATTTACAAACTTGTTTGTGTAATATTACTAAAATATTTCAAAATGTTTGTGTGCTTACGTAAATGCTTAAAGTGGGATTCTCATGTGTGTATTATGTAATTATGAAGCATTGACAGAATTTGTATAGGGAACCGTGAAAAAGAGTTGACTATGTATAATACGTTTTCTTAAATACAAACAAAGGAAGAAGATGGCTTATAATATTTAAATAATGTGTACGAAACAGCATACATTTAGGCGCAGCTCACTCATATTACATATTAAAACGGTTCAGTATTTAAAAAATTTCAGTGCTAATTTATATGAAAATACAAATATTAATTCTTTTCAGCTGCGATTAATTTCTGTCCATTGATTTATATTTTCATGAACATGAAGATATTGCCTTACAAAGCATTATTTCAGCGATAATTTATGAAAACCACACATGTTTGTTTTAAATAATTTGTGCAAATATTTTCAGGTTGCCCATTTTTATTAATGACCACGCGAAGATAATTAAATGAAAATTAACCTCAAATAGTTTTACCGTTGACATTTACACCGTTATATAATCAGCGGGTTGGCAGTATAATATTATATTTAATGTTCAATAAAAACGCATTTACATACACACATATTTTAAAATATATATTTTTAATTCTTTACGCGTTTGTCAGGCAGAGATTATTATTTATTTGGCTCAGAATATACATATGTACATATATTGATAGTTATGCACACACATTTGAGCATATAAAAGGCGTGTCCACATAATCAGCCTATTAAGCGCAATTAAACCGACATTGTGTACATAGTTGTAAACAATTAATCTCCTGCAGATTTACAAATTGAATGCTTCTACATGCGCACATACATATGTAAATGCATGTATGTTTATTATTTACTACATGGGCAAATATCAGCAGAGTGCGTTTGCGTAGGTGAGGAATAAAATTGAAGAATTTTACAAAATCTACAAAAAAAAATAGATCAAAGTTGCTGAAAATACACAAAAACCGGTCGCTTAGTGCCCTCAAGAATGATTTCAGATTTGGAATACAGTTTATTAAATTATTTAATATAATATAATTTATTATGGTATATACATTTCATATATTTTTACACCCTCAAGAGGGTATATTAAGTTTGCCATTAAGTTTGTAACTTGTATATATGTATAAACGATCAGCGTGATGAGCTCAGTCGATTTAGCCATGTCTCTCTGTTTGTATATACGCCAAATAGTCTCTGAGTTTTAGAGATATCTATTTAATAATTAGCACACGTCTATTTCTCCCCAAAAAGTAGGACATTTGTTGGAACCGCCAATATCGGCCAATAAAGCATAGAGCAGTCATACAAACTAACCATTAAAAATGAAGTTCTTGCATGGAAAACATTTTTATTTGACAATATATCATCACGAAATTTAATAGGGATTATTGTTCAAGGCAACGATACAATCATGCGAACATAGTGTTCAGATCGGATAGCTGTAGCTTATAGCTACCATACAAACTGGCCGTTCAATGTTATTGAACATTGGAAAGGCTTTAAAGGTCAAATAAACACTAGAATTACGAAAAT